TAGCTGGCTCTTAAAATTTAATGATTCGGAGAGTGAAGGTATTAATAAAAGTATATCTAACTGTGATTTGATATAATATCTCTTTTAGCTTATGCACAATTTACCCTGTGGTTTATAATCCCCTACAAATGGTTATTAAAGCTGTTAATGTGTTGATGGTATTAACGATATGATACAATTTATCTTATGGTCCCCCTTTTAGTACTAGAAGGTGCACAGGTGAGTTTACATGTTTAATTTATCAAGTTTATCTTAGGAATTATTTTAGGAATTTATCAAAACGAGCCACTACTTCTAAATTTTGAGAAATACTTGTGGCTGAGAAGTTATAAATCTTACTGCAATCAAACTGGTGATCGTTCAGGATGCGGTAATAACTGATGATGGCTTCTGGAGGTGCCAAAGCCTCAGCAAGGGGCTGCAAGTGAATCATAGCTATATAAATTGAGATTCCTATGCATGTCGCTAACATGTGTGTTTTAGGTAATATTTCAGTTTAACAAAAGACCCACTAAGTTATTAGATACATAATTATTCATAAGATAATTACAGTAAATGATAAATAAAGGCCTAAAATAAAATAACACTATTGGTATGTGATTTTAGGGGAGCATGGAGAGGTTGAACTTATCACAGATTTAGGGGCCCTTCTTTTACAAGAAACAAAACCCACAATATGTGATTCCACTTTACTAAGAATGTAACAAACTTCTGGGTAATAATATACTTAATCGAACTAAAAATACATTTTAAAAATATTGTATTTTAGATTTCCGTTGTACCTGAAAACATTCTAAGAATTTTAGAAGCAAAATAAATACTACAGACTTGTCTAAAGAAGAATAGCTATATGACATCTGAAGTTTTATAAAAAGTGAATCTACATGGTACGTCTATATTAAAAAAAAACAACATCAGATTCAAGCAAGTGCCAAACTAGAAGAAAATTTGAGAAAAATCACAGAAGATGCCCTCGAGCATACATCAGAATATCTTGCTAAAAAACATGAGTTGTTTTTTTTATAAAATCTTCATACTAACTTGGAAATCCATAATTATGCATAAAATTTGTGAAATTCTAAAAAAAAAAATTAGAGGTTTTATTTAAAACAACAAAGTAAGACAAAATTACCTAAAAATAAGTGCAACGATTTAAACTTGAGTATATTTTTTTACTTTCTATATAATTTCCTTCAATAATAGTTAAACAAGTAGGTCAATCTCTTTGTTATTCAATATGTAGTTAGAATAAAATAATTTTTGTTCACCTTTGTATAAATAATAAACTAACAAAATAAAAATATATAAATATCTATACAAAAAAAAAGTTAAAAGGTTTGATTTTAAAAAGATGATATATCTCTGTAAGTACAGGTAAGCAATCTGGAACCTCAGCTATCTCATGATATATACCTAAGTCATTGTTGCAATCATCTATTATTCACAGATCTAGTTTTTTTTGCATCATACAATTGCCATCTTGAAACGTACCTTATATAAATATACTTTTGTACAATCGTTCACTGTTTAATCTTCTAGTGAACCTTTGCAATATTGATACCTTATTATTACTATTAAGCAAATTTTGCCCAATCGTTCAGTGCTTTATAGGTGGCTTTTACTATCGTACATGTGTAACTGCATTTGTGATATACCTACCTCTACGTTTGTGATATTACTACTTGATTTCAAGAACATTTTAATAATAAATTTATATAAATATTTTGTTTTATTTGAAATTTCCATGTCTCGATTGAGTTTTTACTATACCTCAATTTCAGCCTCTCCATATTACATTACACAAAGAACAATATAGTGTGTCCATGGATGGACTTAATTATACTTATAAAAATATTTTTTTAAATTAAAAAAAGTTATTTTTCATAATTTCTTAATGTGAATCGAATTTATTTAACAAGTAAATTATGAAGAATTACTTTTTTAATTTAAAATAAATATTTTCACAAGTATAGATAAGTCCATCCGTGGACACACTGTATAATGCAGTAGAACTAATTCACATTATAACATCTATAGAAAGTTTCAGAGCAACTTTCAGGGTAAGTACCGTAAAAGTGCTAGTGTGATGTTTTCCGAACTTCACTTTTTAACTTCTGTGAGATGTGCTATAAAAGTCTTGCCGTTGCGGACATTCGGTGGTTGCAGGGATATTAGGGTTACATTAAAAGTACATTGCATGTGAGCTTAAAGAGCCTAAAATTGCAGCTTATTAACGTAGATGGGATGTTTTTGTGCTAGCTGGGACTATACCAATGGTAACATTAACAGAAATGATAGTGTTGTAATTTTGGTCAGGTCAAATCTAAATGTAGAATTAAATATAGTTAAACTGGAATATTCTGATATTTGTGTCACTAAAATAAATCTAAAAGTCAATCATCGGACCATTGGCATTGCAGGTGTATACAGGTCTCCTCAAACCTCTGCACAAGCATTTATAAGGGATTTAGAAAATTTCATACCAAATCAACTAAATAGAAATATTCATAGGGGACATTAATATTGATCTCCTAAATGTAACCAATCAAGTAACTACTGATTACCAAGCAATTTTTTACTCCTGGTTTCATGTCTTACATAAACGAGGCCACAAAGTAAGACATGCTTGGATCATATATTCTTAAAAAACAATATTAAGACTGAAAAGCTATCAGTGAACTCTTATGTAATCAGCTATGATATGACTGATCATGATCCTATTATGATAAATATCTCACAATCTGCCAAAAACTACATAAGTTCCTACAATACATATAAAACTATAACTAAAATCCATACTGATAAATTAAAACAAAAATTCGAAACTGTAAACTGGGGAAGTGTTTGCAATGAAAATAATCCAGAAATTGCAACACAACTTTTTTATGACACATATCTTAATATCATTCAAACATGTCAAACCACTCAAAATATTAAAATCCATAAAAAATAAAGCCATGGATAACAAATGGTTTAATTAATTCTATTAAAACTAGGGATAAACTTAAAAGAGATCTAAAAAAAAACTATACTATTAACAAACAAACTCACTATAAAACATTTAGAAATAATTTAAACAAACTAATATCAAAAACTAAAAATGACTATTATAACAATAAAATAAACCAAAACAAAAATGATCTGAAAAAAACTTATCAATTAATCTCTGAAGCAACTAATGAAAATCATAAAACAAATAATACCAATTTACAGATTGTTAACCAACATAATGAGGAATTTGAAAATGATAATGAAATGGCGAATTACTGCTATAACTACTTTTCAACTATTGGCACTAATATGTTCACAAATAGTAATGTGGATTTTCCTGTGTCACTGAAAAATCAATGTTTCTGAAACTGATATGCAAAAACGATATAAAAACACATAAATATTTTAAAAAACAATAGTGCCCCGGGATTTGATTGTATAACAGTAAAACATCTGAAACTACTACATCCGTATTTACTGGAACCTTTAATCAATATAATTAATTGTATTTTTAATACATGAATCGTACCTAAACAATTTAAAACTTCAATTATAACACCTATTTATAAAGCTGGCAATCCAAAATGTTGAAGGTTTATGAAAATTATTTGACACACAGACAACAGAAGGTAAAGATCAGAGACAATGTGAATAACCTTGAAAATATACAAATCAGAGTGTCTCAAGGGACTGTTCAGGGACCTATACTATTTAATTTATACATTAAGAGCTTAACTCAGATTGATATTCAAGGTAAAGTTGTATCATATGCTGACAATACAATGCTAATCTTCAGTGATACAGATTGGGAAGCTGTTAAGACACGTGCTATAGCTGGAATGGAACATATCAAAAACTGGCTGGATGTTTTCAAATTATTTTTGAATGTTAACAAAACCAACTACATTGCTTTTTCAAAGACAGTGGCTGATCGACATACAGGAATCAGAAGCATCCAAATATTTAGGTATAATTATAGACCAGCACTTAAAATGGGACTGCCATATAATATATATAACAAAAAAACTTAAGATTTCTGATTTATAAATTTTATCTTCTAAAACAATTTCTCAACCAGGATCTACTAATAACATTATACTACAGTTTAGTAGAATCTATACTACAGTATGGAATCTTAGTATGGGGAGGCCTGTATGGAACTACATTAAATCAGTTAAATGTTATTCAAAACAAAATTTTGAAGTTAATACATAAAAGAGATAGATTGTGTCCCACCATATCTTTATATAATGAAAAAATTAGCAATGTTAGATGTTTATATATTCACGCAGTGTGTTGTTATATACAAAAAAATAAATTTTTAAAAAACCCTTCAGAACATAGACATAACACTAGAACTGCATCAAACATGTGCATTAAATTACCAAAACCAAATAGTGAGTTTTTTAAAAACACTGTAAATTATCTAGGGACAAAGTTCTATAACGCTCTACCTCTTCATATAAAATTATTAAACAAATATATAAAATTCTGTAAAGTTAGCAAAATATACATTTTCCAAAATAATGCAAAGTTTATCAGAATATTCCAAGAATAACAGACTTAATACATGGATGTTTTTTAAATAGCTTTTTTTTCTGTTTCTTGCATAAATTGTTCAAGTTTTATTTTTTATTTATTTCCTTTACAATTCATTAAATATAATTAAAATAAAATTTTAATTTTTGTCAGCACATACAGGTGTTCTCACCTAGGTGCTTGTTATTATATAATTGGTTTCCATTATTGTACTTTATTGTAACTTATTTATTATTGTAACTCATTGTAACTTATAACTATTAAAATATATATCTATATAGATCTAAGATCTATACATAAATATCTATCAATTTCGGGAATAAAAAAGTTGTAAATTCCACATTGGATGAAATTACTGAGGTAAAAGCTTAAAAGTAATTTTTTCTCAAAGTTTAAATCATGATGATAGTTTTACATTAACAGAAGCAAATTAATTTTACAACTTACTTTTAAAACGTTTAGATTCCTACCTTGAGTTCTAGATGATGGGTAACAACTTCTTTTAAACCTGTATATAAGCGCTCGCCATGTTTGTGCAAAACCATGGTGTATGCATTACGATAAAGCTCTTCAAAACTTAAACCTGAGTTATTTTTCTTTTGAATTTCTTGAATGGCATTTTTTAATAAAGCCCATATACTTTCTACATATTTTTCATCCATAGTCATCTGAAAATAAAAATATTTAAATTTAAAACTACCCTAATGTTAGACACATTAACTAATTTTTATTAAAACCATGATAGGTAGATTGAAAAAAATAAAATAGGTCTTTTAATTAGGACTAGAAGTAGTAAGTTTTGTTATAATATGAACATTTAATCTTTATTATTTCTCTTGTTTCCAACTTCATAAAACTTTTAAAAATATCTTCATTACTAGATACAAATTAAGCAGAACACAGTTTGATATCTAATATAAGATGTAAAGTATTTAAAATATAATGTGGATTAACAGAAATACATTGTCGCCTGGTGCATCCCAATGGTCCCAATATTTTGAGAAGTTACTGTTCATTTTATGGAACTTCGATTTCATAGGAAGGCATTTATAGGGCAGGTGCTCTACTAATAAACTTATATAAATTGTGCAGCAATGTTATTAAAACGGGATGTTGATAATTTAAACTTATGTGTTGGAAATTTTTGGATAATGACAATGAATTTGAAACTTTCTGAGACTTGAAATGACAGAAGTTTTTGTTTTCTTTAAATGACATATTTCAATATGAAAATTAGAGACAGGGTAGGAATAAATGTAATGTTATAATTTATTAACCAACCGAAATATTTTTGTCAAAAAAAGGATAGCCCAAGGATGACTTCATATACATTTGGTCAAGATCTGATAATGGGATGTATGAGAAAATCATCAAACTCTTAATTTTTTAATGCATATTCAGCAATAATTCTTTAACATGTCCGATTTCCACGATTCTTTTTTTGTCACAAGGGGATACCTCAGGGGTACTCCCATATAAATTTGGTCAAGATCTGATAATGGTATCAATGAAAAAATCATCATTTGTTAGTATATACAGTGATAATTATTTACCACGTTGTCTGATTTATAGGATCCTTTTCTTTGTTAGATAAGGGGTAGCCCAGGGATGGCCCTATACACATTTGGTCAAGATCTGATGATGGGATCTATTAGAAAATCAGCAAAATCAATTTGCAATGACATCTGCAAGATTTTGGAGTGGATTTTTTAAAATTACTTTTATAAATTGTTTTAAATAATGTGGATAAATTCTAATAAAAGTATAAAAGATGTTTGGCCTATTTAGTCCTACTAAGTGTAGTATCCAGCCTTTACTACTCTTGCCCCAAGAGCTGCATAAAACAAATACTGATTAGAGATGAAATTTACATCTTTTTAACAATAACATTTAATTGATTCAAACTTTTCATAATTTGAATAATTTTTCAATCAATAACAGCATCAGTCCTTGAGAATATCAACTGAAGTAGAAGAGACTTTCAAAATACACACCGGATAACATATCTCCTTTGAGAAGTAATTGATGTACAATGTATTTGTTTAAAAATAAAATAGAGAATATTTTTTAACTTGTTTTAAGTCTATAAACAATTTTAAATATTTTTTGTTGCATTCTTTTTTTCATCAGTCATTTAAATTTAAATATGGACCTCTTTGCTTGTCTTCGCTCATCATGTTTGTAATAATGCATTTATTTAGCCAATAAATGTGTAATAATTCATTAGATAACTATATCTGTCAACAAAATGCAAAACTTTGATTTATAAACAATGGATAAGTACTGCTTGTCCCTTACTTTGAAACGAAAATATTGGTAGTTCTACCCTGGTAAAATTTTTAAATTATTTAAAAAAAAATGTTACACTTTATTTTATAACCTAAATTTCTGAAAAATAATAATTAACTTAATAAACATACAAAAGATAATACAAAAATAGCATATAAGATAGTAGCAAAAAATATAAACTTACTGGGAAGGCTCTAATCCTCATTTTGCCTTCCTTCTTAGGTAAACCTCCACTTTTCATTGAAGATGACATTTTTGTTTTTTTCTCAGACCAAATTCGGTAATTATTAGCAGGTATGCATTACACACAATTAATTTTAAAATACATAATAATCAACACTTTAAACAGTTCTTCATAGTTACAAAATGAAAATCGGATCTTTAGCCACTTTACCAATTAGCCAATGACTTCTTGTTTTTGTGCTTGTAGCACTTTGGTCATTTTCATGTATCGTCTTTCGATATCAACAAAATCTCGGACACTTTCACTTCCCACCAGATACTAGGAGCTTGGGAAGATCCTAAGACAGCCCAATTTCGAAATACTTTACCACTTTTGTCAACCAATTTCTAATTTTTTACAATTCATCAATTTGCTTCCATTAGATTCGTAGACAGACGGGCCCGTTTATTCAGCTGTTTCGTTTCTTTTTCATGTCATTCCTCATTTCTCATTCTACGACATCACAAATCACTTGTCCTTTTTTCGGAGCAATGAGAGAGCACTCGAGGGTTACACTACACTACTCTGTTCGGAAGTTTTACAATAACGAAAACGATTAAATTCGTTTTTATAATTATTGGGTTCAATTAAAACAAAAATTATTTTTTTATAATTTAATAAGAATGTATTCTAGCCCTAAAATCTAAAAAATCACGAACATTCTCATTATATAGCGTAATTGGAGTGAGTGTGGTGCAAGTTGAACTACTCCGGAATAACTCTGATTATTCAACAGATTTGGCTGTCAAATCTGTATGTTGTCACCACTGATTTGAAAAATGTGAAACGCTTCAAACAACAACAATTTAAATCAATTCTATTTTCCTCTGTTCGACGTGAAAATAGAGAAAGAGAGATATTGAAGAAGTTGTGACGTACGTTATTTATCAATTATTATGGACGATGACTCTAAAATGGTGGTTATCACACATAAAATAAATTTCTGTTTAGAAATGTATTTTTTATACATTACTAATTAAATGTTTTTTGTTAGCTTGAGTCCTAATTTGCTTAAAAATATTTCAGTGTGTTGAGTGTAATTTATAAAATTAGTGCCTATTACATTAACGTAAGTTAAAATAATTGCAGCCCTCTTGATTTAGCTTGACGCACACCGGCGCGCCCATGTAAAATCTGTTATTTTTTTCAACTTACTGATGGGCGCCCACATTCCAAAGCACTTTCAGTGAAAACAATTCTTTTCGATTTTTAGTGAAAATGTCGTCTGACGATGAGAAGCCCCCCGCACCCCCAGTACGATTGACTTCTAATAGAAGTACTGATCTCGTTAACAGTTCCATTGCAGTAGACAGACCGTTGCCCAAGGAGCCCGAAGATTTGGATAAGAAAAAGAAAAATCTTAAATCCAAAAAAACCCATAAGCTGTCTACCTATGCCTCTGATAAACCCAACATTTCTTATCCCACTAATTTTGAACACACTGTACATGTTGGATTTGATCCGATTTCCGGAGAGTTCACGGTAAGTTTCAAAGAAAATATAAATAAAAATGTGGATAGAGTCACAATTGAAATTTATATAAAACATCCTTTATACAGATATTTGTTGTTGTACCTTCCTACATGTTTTTTAATATAAAAATAGAATAAGATTGCTCTGGCTCTGAAGTGTAATTAGAGAATCTCGAATCTGTGACATCAGTTTTTTTGTAGGTAGGTAGATAGGTAATTAACCTATGAAGCTATTTATGTTTGTATTAAAAAATATTTTTTAATCTGTGTTCAAATATTTTAATATCAACTTGGTGATTATTGACTGATTGTATTCTTGTATCACTGGTGACTACTCACAAACAATTTTTGTTTTTCTTTTTTATTAAATTAGGTATTTGAAAACATTTTTGAAAAAAAAAAAGAAAATTAAAAAAAGTGAACAAAACAATATTAATTTTTTATTTTAAAAATAAAGGTTAATTCATCAGATTTTTGAAGCATTTAATTGATTTATTTATTTATTTATTAATGAGCAACTGCCCAATTAAAATACAATTAACATAAACAAGAAAAAAAAACAAGGTAACAATAATTGTAAAAAAAGTTAAATTAAATTTAGACATCAAAATATTACATATGATTTAAGCTGGAATTTAAAGATTTTTTGATTATCAAAATACCAAAATACTGCTAAGCAAATCTACCAGACCTTGATAGAAAAGAATTATGTCCATAGTTAGTCGGATGTTGTCTAATATTGAAAGGCTGAATAATCCTTATTTGTCTAGAAGGAACATGAATATTAATTTTTCCCAATAGCTCTGGACTAAAGCTGCAGTAAATAGTAGAATCTGGTAAGATCCTTGTGCATGCATCTGATCTGAAGAGTGCCCAGACAACACACCAAATCCCAGAGATATCCACAGAATATATTTTGTGGATATCCAATATATCCACAGGATATCAGAAATATTCCGTGGAACTAATATGGATATCCAAATGTCCGTCTATATCCAGAATATAGAAGATATCCTATGGATATTCAGCAAAATATCTAATGAGTATCTCCAGACAATACAAGAAATCCCAGATATATCCATAGAATATATTTTGTGGATATCCAACCAAATGTCCGTCTATATCCCAGGATATAGAAATTCAGATAAATATTTTATAATTATTTTTAGTAGAGGTTCATAAGTAACCAATGGTTATTGAATAACGTCGAAAGAAAATAGAGGTAAAAAATATTCCCAACAATCTGCCTTTGATTTTGCCTACTAAGGAGAAAATCATCCTTATTAGGAATCTTCAGCAATAAATGGAACTTCTCGACTTCAGTCTCTAATGAAGTCTGTTTGTGAAACAATGTCGATCAAACTCAATTACGGCGGGTTAAGCATGAGTAGATACGAAAGTGGTATCGCCATCTATACTTAGGAAGCAAAATCAAAAATTACATCTAGTAGATATCCACGATGGTTTGCGTCCGCGCTTAGACTTTGATATATTTATATTTATAGTGGATGTCCATGGGATATTGAATACACCTTAAAAAAAATTAATTTTAAATATCTCAACGGTACTATTAGCCACAATGGCGAGTACAATGGCGTAATTTTTTAATAATTTGCTATATAATTACAATTATTTATGGACATTTGCATGTCTATAAATTACATTTCATGGATATAAAATAGATATCCACCATGGACTGGACATTCAGTGGATATTGGGATGTTCAGTAGATATCCAAAGGATTTGGTGTGTTGTCTGGGTGGTTATATTAAAGGAATTCTCAATATTTGAATAATTAATATCCTCGATCCCATGGTGTTCCTTAAATGAAATAAATTTTAAAAATGAATATGAACACTGTAGTGGGGGGACCAGACCCATTCACAGTAATTATTTGATCTGTGAGACTTCTGTTACGACTGAATACCATTTTACTGACTTGATAGACAATCTAGAGGTGGTGGTGTTGGTCTTTATTTAAATAATTATATTACTGGTTTACAATTATTATTATTTCCTTTATTTAGCTAGTTTGCTAATATCACAATATACAAATTTAGTAAAAATATACAAAACATAGATAATTTAGATAAATTAAAACTAACTAAAATTCTATGGGTTGTTACTGTTTCTGGAGCAATATTCATCAATTAAGAAATCAGTCACTTTGACTTTAAATGTAGTTACAGACGTTACTGATTTAATTTTCTCTGGAAGTGCATTATATTGCTTTAGACCTTTAAAAAATAGTGAATTTTGTGTTGCACTCTAACAACTGTTTCAATATAAAAGTTATTTCTGTTCCACATTTGAGTGATAATTAAGCTTCTCTTTTAGGTACATTGGAAGTAACCCGTGTTTGATTTTATAAATAAAAATTAATGCACTCCGCAATAAGAGACTTTTGATTGGCATCCACATCAAAGTTTCAAGCATTAGATTAATGGAAGTATATTTTGAACAGGATAATATTATTTTCGTAGCCCTATTCTGCAGCTTCTGTAGTCGGTTCAACTCATTTTGATTTAGTAAAAAGAGTATTGTAGAGCAATAATTAAAGTGAAGTAGAATTATAGTATTATATATAATATATTTAGTTCACTGTGATAAGCCAAATGAACTTCTAAATAGGAAAATTAACATAAATGCAAGTTTTGATAACAGTGTTGGCATGATCTATGAATCTCATCTGCTTGTCAATCATTACCCCTAAGTATTTGAATTTTTTCTACTAAATGTATAGAATTTCCTCCAATTGTTATGTATATTGTTTATCAACAAACTGTGTATAGTTATAGTTGCTACTTATCAGCATACATTTTGTTTTATTTGTGTTAATTTTCAACAAATTATTGCAACACCATTTATAAACATGTTGCAATGTTTCATTTACAACTCTTACCAAGTTATCTGAATCCTTACAAGAAAAATATATCATCAGCAAACAGGTGAATGTCACATTGACCCTTGAAATCAACAATGTCATTGATATACACTAAAAACAACAGGGGACCCAATATACTTCCCTGTGGAACACCTCTGATATAGTTAATTTCCTCTGACAAAATGTTATTTACTTTTAACTTTTGTTTCCTCTTACTTAGATAATCTACACACCACTCCAATACTTCCTCTACTATACCCATACTTTTCAGTTTTTTTTATCAAACGGTTTTGATCAATAGTCTCGAATGTCCTTTGAAGATCTATAAAAACTGCCAATGTTAGATAGTTTTTATCAAATTTATATTTCCAATATAAAACACACTGGATAGCTGATTCAGAGTTATGTTTGCTTCTGAAGCCCAATTGTATTCTAGTAATAAGTTTATTCTGTTCTAAAAAATTAACAATTTGTTCATAAACGACCTTCTTAATGATTTTTTCGATACAACTTAACATACTAATAGGCCTTAAATCTGTAGCTTTATTTGCGTTTTTTGTCTTTGGAACAGGCACTACCATAGCAATTTTTAGAGCATTAGGTATTTTTGAAATTTCTAATAATTAATTTATCAAATTTAAAAGTGATTCTGAGAGGTTTGGAAAACAGTTTTTTAAAATATTAATGTTAATGCCATCTGTGCTACTTTTATTTTTCATTGCAAAAAGAATGTCTCTTAAAGAATCCACGGTACATAGTTAAAATTTTCCAAGAAAATATCCATTGTATCTGTCTAAAATTTGATAATCTGCTATTGTATGATCAATCATACTAGCAATCGATTGAATACTGTCTGTAAAATTTATTAAAAACATTTGGCATGTCAAAAATATTTTTTATAATATATTTCCTAGTTCAAGTTCAATTAAGTTATTCGACTTATTATTTTTTGGAATCAAGACATTCAAGATATTTCCTTTGAATTTCCCCTACTGTCGTAAATATTTTTCTCTGTGTTTACTTTTTTCTGATCTAATTACGTTAACGGCCCTATTTCTATGCATTTTGTATTCATTCTAATTATTTTCTGTTTTTTCTTGTGAATAATTTTTATATGCAATGTCTCTGTACCTTGTGGTAGCTTTTACATTTTCATTCCACAATTTTTTGTATTTAGAAAATATTTTTATTTGTTTTTTTTTTGGCGCTACAGAATCTAATACATTTAAAATATTTGTTACAAAATTATCATATTTTGCATTAATGTCATATATGATAGTTCCATGCTAATGTTGAAAGTTTGTTATTAATTTAATCAAAATTTAAATCCTTACCTCTGCTTTCAATTTCAAAAACATCACTATTTAATAGCACATTTGTTAAAAGCATAAAATGATCTGAAATTCGTGTTGGTTTGTCAACCTCAGCTGAAACAAAGTCATTATTTGTTATAACTAAATCTATTAATGTACCTCCACTACTTCTATTTGGTCTTGTGCATTCTGTAACAATATTTTTTAATCCAGTATCAATCAAAATATCACTTAATTTCGCACTGTAAGTGTTTTTAGTTAACAGGTCAGTATTAAAATTTCCAGAAACAACTATTTGAGAATTATCACATAAATTTTCTTCAGCCCAAGTGCCAAAACAATCTAAAAAATTTAATGCTAGGTGACTTATATAAAGATACAATTAAAATTTTTTTGTTTCCTAATATTACCATCATAGAAACAATCCAACAAATTTTTGAAATACAAAATTTAAAATATTTTAAAACCTTCAGTTCACTTTGTACATAAATTAAAGCATCCCCTGTGTGTCTACTTTCACTGTCAACTCTATAATTTTTGTATCCGTCAATGTCTATTTCTGAATCATAAATATCCTCAGTCAAGCAAGTTTCAGAAACACATACTAAACTTGGTTTTTTTGACAACACATAATTAGAGATTTCATCAATGTGGGCCACCCAAGCTCACAGCATTTAAATATAATATATTTATTGTACTTTTTAATTTGGATCTTGAGTTTGAGACTTTGTGGGAAAATCCTTATTAACTGTGGGTGTGATAGATACGTTATCAAAAGGAGGAACAGTTAAATTATTTAAACCTGTCAAATCT